GCCACACTGAAATAAATTGCTCTCCTGTCTTACCATACTCATTCCTCAGTTGTTTGGCTCTCTTGGGGACTCGGCCTGGTCTGCTGAGAGTCCCCTGGCCCGGAGCCATATTAACACAGGGAAATCTCATGGGCACTAGTTATATCACCCACCCTCATCATTGTGACTCTAACCTGACAAAAGCCACTTAGGGAAGGAAGTTTGGTTTGAGGGGACAGTCCATCATGGTGGGGAGGTCTGAGGCAGGACAGGACTGACTGAGGCAGCTGCAACACACTGTACCCGCAGTCAGGAAGCAGAGAGATGGGTGCTGGTGTCCAGTACACCAGACCATGGGACTTTGTGGCTTACTACTTAGAATGGGTTTCCCATGGCCAGAGGTTTGTCTTCTGGGTGGTTCTAGATCCTGTTGACAGTCGATGCACATGAGTCACCATAGGCTCTAAGTCTGGAGATAGCCTGTGTTTTCCCAGGAGCTCTTGAGAGTCTTTTGGCATAAACTGGATTGGACCCTACCTTATTTTTAAACTTTTTGGATCATTATACAAAACCACAAGCTTCATGATAATACTGTCCTGTGTGTGTTTCATACACTGTCACCCTTCCTTGCCCGCCCCACTACCTTGTGACTCAACACTAGCAATAAAGATAGAACCAATTTCCAGAGAGGTGTCTGCTGAAAGCTACGGTATAGGTAAATTGAGGGGTAGGGTGGAGGGGATAGATGTCCCTCTAAAACAAATACTTGTATTTTATAAAATCAAGAACCTTAAAGAACAAAAAAAAAAAAAAAAAAAAAAACCAAAAACCAAAGCTGCTTAACCAGATCTCAGACAACAATAAGACCTCTCTGGAAACTGAGGTGACTGGGATAGAGCCAGGCTCTCTCCATGAACTGGAAGCTCACCATTTTGGCTCTGCTGGCCAGCTAGAGAGCTCTCCAGATCTGCCCATCTCCATCCCCCCCCCCCAATGCTGGGCTATAAGGTGTGTACAGCCATGCCTGGCTGTGTACCTGGCTGCTGGAATTCAAACTCAGGCCTTCGTGCTTGTGTAGCAAGGGCCCTTATCCTGAGCCATCTCCCCAGCCCAGCTCCATTTCACAGATGAGGAAACTGACACTCAGAGAGACCATCATTCCAAGACCACCCACCTTCCTGGTGCTGACACGGAGTGCCAACTCAGACTTTCTGATTAGATTTTTATCGGAATATGCCATGGAAATAGGTTAGAAGGGGCTGGATGTCAGTGGCAGGGCACTTACCTAACGAATGCATATGAGTTTCTGCTTTGATGTCCTCTCAGGGTCCAGGCCAGAGGCTTATAGCAGGTGGGTAGGGCTTGGCTAAAAAGGTCTGAGAGTGAATGAATCAGTTCATACACATGTCATGTATATGAACTTTCTTCAAAAGTTCTCTCAAAAAGCTCTCTTTAAGATTCTCCTCAAGGGCTGCAGAGGTGTCTCAGAGGTTAAGAGTACTACCTGCCTTCCAGAGATCCTGAGTTCAATCCCCAGCATACACATGGTGGCTCACGATCATCTGTATTGAGATCTGGTGCCCTCTTCTGGCCCAAAGGCAGACATACAGGCAGAAGAATGTAAACATAATAAATAAATAAATAAATCTTAAAAAATAAAAAAGATTTCTCAAAAAACTCTCTTAAAGTTCTCTTTAGAAGTTCTCCTTAAACATTCTCCTAACTCCCACACGGTTTCCAGTTTATATACACACAGACAAAATTAGCAATTCTCTGGCAATAGCAAGGCTACCAGGCATGCGTCTCTCTCTCAAGACCAGGAAGGCAGATAAGGTCTTGACAAAAGTGGGGGGCCTAATGTGTCAGAGGAGACATGACTTGTAAAATGTCCAAGCAAACTTAAGAGGCAAGAAAGGGTTAAATGGATAGATCACTAAGAAGGGAGAAAGGGTGTGAGTATGTAAAACTGCATTTATGCGGTTAAATTAGAAGTCTATAATTGATAAAGGCAAAACAAAGAAGAAACACTGAGAAGTTTATAATTGATACATGTAAAAAATGGAAGAAGCACTCTAAGCTAGAGAATTCTCCCAGCACTAGATCAAAGGGAAAGGCTACATGATCCATGATCCTGAACCTATTGCTTCCCTCAGGTTAAGCAGTGGGGGCTGTTAACACTGAACCAGCCCCCCTCCATGAGAAGGAATTTCCTTTCTCTGGGGCCTTTTGGAGAATATAATACATCCAGTATTTTTCTATGTATCAAGATTATACAGCCAAATCCATAGCAACAGATATTCTGGAGTCTGTATTTCTTGTAGACTTTGCAGGGCAAGTTTTCTCCATCAGAAGTTAATTCTGGTGGGTTGATACCTAGAATATTAATTGCTACTTCTGTAATAAATGATAAAGGCTCTCAGCAGTTACCTAGCATGTGTGACATTTGGGCAGACTTTAGGAAGAACTATCCTCAACAAAAGTCAGTGTGGAAACTTAGCATGCCTGGTGGGGGGAGACTGGTCAGGAGGAGGAGTTTGAGCAACCTAGCAGATCCCTGTATCTCCTCCCCCTCTTCAAAAATTCACATGAAGATGCCAATTATTCAAGCTACTAGAAGCCTTTCACATAAAGGAAATACACACACCAGCCATTACTTTAACAGGTTTACAATGCTTTTTTCCCCCATTATGTGTTTGCACAATTGTCAACCTGCTTTTAAACCTTTTAGTAGTTTACAAAACAACAAATATTTATGATAAACTGGTGGGTTCAGTAGGCAAGGACACTTATGGCTAATCTTAATGACCCACATGATGGAAGGAGAGAACCGACTCCTGCAAGTCCTTTGACCTTCAACTTCAAGGCACTTATTTCTGTGTAAATGCCCATCTGGAGGAGACTCCTGTAAGCCTGAGGCTCCAAAGGTATGGGGAGGCAATTCTGCTGAGTTAGGTTATGGCCATTTCACTTGTGCAAAGATGGCTTTGTCACAGGGCAAATGTCTAATTTTTTTTTTCTTAGAGACAGGGTTTTGTTGTATAGCCCTGACTGTCCTAAAACTAGTTTTGTAGGCCAGGCTGGCCTCCATCTCACAGAGATCTGCCTGCCTCTGCCTCCTGAGCACTGGGATTAAAGGTGTGCGCCATCACTGCCTGGCTGGAAATTTCTTATCCTGATGAAGTTGGGTTTTATTAAACAAATGTCTCCTCTTGCACATTTGTTTCAGATGGCACAAGCCCTTCAAGGGTAAGCTGACACTACTATTGGCTGGAAGCCAAAGGTGGTATTGAATCAACATTCTGCTGGTATTTCAGTCCAGCACCCCAAGGTGCTGGCTCTATGGTAACGCCGAAGAGCACGTGGCTTGGTGATGTCCATGTCAACCATGCAAAGAAGAAACTTTTCTACACAGGCTTGAGTAGAGACACTGCTTCTGGGGCTGGGGATCTATCAGCTGTAGTAAACTCTAACCTAGCACAGGCAATGCCTGAGTCTCCAAAAGTTCCAACCAAACCAACAGAGAGGACCCTGCAATGCTGCTCCAGTGGTATTCAACCCAGGCCTCGCTTTGCAGGCTGCTCCCTATTGTTTTCCAGCCCAGGATGATCCTCCACAGCCTTCATTGTCAAGTAGTACCTGTGGTCTCCAGGGCTTTACATACCACAGTCATTGAAGTCTGTATACTTGGAGGCACACTCAACCTTCAAGGCCCGAGATGTCATGAGACTGGGTGACAGCACAGGATGATGCATTCTTGGAAGCAGTGCATCTAAGCACTAAGTAGGACTAAAAGAAATATGTGAAGCAGCCCCTCAAACTCTCGGCTGATTTAAAAAGTCCTGAGAAGTGATGACTCAAACAACAAGAAACTACAAGAAATCTCCACTCAGGAGCCTGGAGTAAGCATGTGATGGGGGAGGGGAAAGGAAAGAGGAGACAGACAGATTGGGGGGGGGGAGGAAAAAAGTCAGTAAAAATGAACTTGGAGCAAGCATGTCTGATAGCCCACTGATGCTCGATGGGAGTCCAGGGCAGGGAACTGCACTACTGAACCCGATATTCAGATCATGAGGCCTCCTAACACACGTGTAAGGGCAGGAGTGAGGCCTGCACAAATGCACACAAATAGGATGTGGAGTATGAGCAGACTGCATGGAGTCAGGAAGCTGATGGCCACAGGTCACAGTGATTAGCATACATGGCTATTCTCTTTTTGAAATATCACTGCTTCCAAAGATGGTTTCCACTGACCACTTTGGGATTGTCATGTGCCATTTCTTGAGCCTGGACCTGGATGAACCTCAGATACTTCTCTTGCACTTATACTAACTCACACTGTGGCTCTCAACCCATCCTCACAGGACCACCTCTCAAATTCACACCCCTGGCTGGCTATCTTGTGAACATGTACCAAAAACATGCTGAAGCTTAATTTACCTGTTCACAGTACCCAGATAGTTCTTCAAGGGAGATAACCCAATCATAGCTTCACCCCTGTAAGGGGTTATTGTGATTTTTGAAGGATGACTTAGCTCCCCAGAGCTGGTTAGAGAACTATATCCCCATCCCAGGTCTTGTTTTGGTTCATGCCTTTTCCCATTTCTCCAGAATATTATGACGACAACAAGTGCCAGACCTGTGTCATGATGTTTGGACTTTCCAGCTATGAAAACCATGAACCAAATAAGCCTTTCTTTACGTGATATCTAATCAGGCATTCTGTTACTGAAACACAAAAACTGACTAACATGCCCAAATGCCTCTTGGGCAAAAATTTTTCTGCTCTTTAACCCATGGGAAGATGGGGGTGATGCCATGTTCTGCTAAATGTAAACCACACTTGTTAACTTTCCAAAAGCTTTACTGCTTTGTTTGTTTGTTTGTTAAGACAGGGTTTCTCAGTGTAACAGTCCTGGCTGTCCTGGAACTTGCTTTGTAGACCAGGCTGGCTGGTCATTGAGATACAGCTGCCTTTACCACCTGAGTGCTGGGATTTAAAGGCCTGTGCCACCACCACCTGGTACAAGATGCATTTTAAATAGCTAATACTGTATAATTTTGTGTTCAACATGCAAACATGTCAAATAATGAGTTCACTGAGAAGACATCAGTCACTCAGTATTTCAAGGCTTCCAGGCCATCACTGATTTTCAATCCTTTGGGTTATTGGTTGAAGTCCTTGGGTGGGCTGAGCCACAGGAGTAGATTTTCCATTTAAAGCAGCAGAACATGGGGTTCTGATCCCCAAACCTGCTCATGCTCCTTCAGGGCAGACTTCTGCCACAGTCAAGAGTTGCTGGTGAACTGTGGACTCTGAGGTTGAAAGGTCAAAGCTCATCCTGGTCACTTCTCTCCCGTGAAGAAACCCAACGGCTGAGAATCACCTCCTGTAACCGAGCAAAAGAGGGCTGGGCTTCAGAAAAAAAGTGGGAGTCCCAGTCATGTGACACCGTGACCCTCACACGGAAACCTGTTCACTGTCACCACTGAACTAATGACGAAGGCCTAACCCCCAGGACTGGCCTGGGGTGCACGGGCATTTGTTGGTCAGCCATGGAAGTGAGAGGTGAACTTTGGTTGGTATTTTATGAATCACCAACCTAGAGAAGATCAGAACAAATGGAGGGAGGTGGCGCTGGGACCACAGGGAGACTGGGACCACGGAGGATGCAAGGGCACACTGGCTGTGCTGTTGGAAGTCTTCCAGGCAGTGGGCGAAGGGAAGGGCACAGAAACAGCAACAGACACCGGGGACTCAATGATGAACTTGGGAGTCCCAGCAGAGGAAAGACCGCCAGTACTAGAGGGCGCCTGGTTCAGTGCAGGCACGAGGACTGAGATGTGGGGTCGCAAGGCTCAGTGGAAGAGCAGGCACTTGGCATGAGTTGGGCCCCGTGTTTTCACTCTCAGTGCTGAAGGAAGTCACATGAGAAGTTGGAGGAGGGAGAGACAGCTGGTCTCTGGGAGTAAGACCTGTGGGAGACCTGGCCTGGCTACAGCGGGAGATGGGGAAGCAACAGACAGACAGGCTGGGGCCGTGGAATGGTGGCCTCTAGCAGGTCACTGGGAAGAAGGACAGAGAGGTTTATGGGGCCAGAGGAAGCATTTCCTCCCTGAGAAATGGGCCTTCCTGGCCAGCTCCCACAGGATGCAGTGGGAGCAGACTCTAGGGGGCTGTGGCTCTGCCTCTGCACGCACAGACCTGAACCTGTATCTTCTTCATGCACTCTGGGGTTTCCATGTCTTCGCTAGTCATGGTAGAGGGCTTAATCAAGTAGCACAGCATCAGCTCCTGCAGAGAAACAAAGAGGCTTCAGTGTGCCTGTGTGTGTGCCTGTGTGTGTGTGTGTGTGTAACAAAGAGGCCTCGTGTGCCAGCATGTGTGTGTGTGTGTGGGGGGCACCCCACCAGTCCCCATGTACACTGGACACACCGTGGTATGTACTCACTGCTCACTGCTTTCTGCCTAGATCTGGCTCTTCTCTAAAGACCTGGCTTTTATAATTACCCAGAGGATGTGACAAAGCAGACAAGCTGATGGATTGCACAGCTAAGATGGAGAACACACACTACCTGTGCTATCAGGTGGGGGAATCAGGCTGGCTCAGACTCATGAGCCTCCTGTCTCCACTATCCAAATTACAGGTGTGTACACCTTGCTGAGCTGTACAAGCAACTTAACATTGTTTACTATTTTGTTTAATTATGTGTGTGTGTCTTTGTGTCTGTGTGTAGTATGTGCATGTGAGTACAGGTGCCTGTGGAGGCTGGAAGAGGGTACTGGGCCTACTGGAGCTGGAGTCACAGGCGGCTGTGGGATGCCTGATATGGATGCTCTGGTCCTCTGGAATGAAGCTCAGTGTGAGCCCTGAGACACTGAGCCCAAAATGACTTGAAAAAATAAAAACAAAACAAATCCTTCTTTTTGTTTATGTGTGTGTGTCTCTCTGTGTGTGTGTATGCCATGTGAGTGCAGGTGCCAACAGAGGCCAGAAGAGGGCGCCAGCTCCTCTGGAGCTGGATCAAAGATGGTTGTGAGTTGTCTGATATGGATGCTGGGCTGAACTCGGGTCCTCTGCATGAGGCAGCAGGCGCTCTTAACCTCGGAACCATCTCTCCATCCCCCACATTCCCACTTACAAAGGAACTATGTAAGTGACAGGCAAGGCTAAGGCTGTGTTACCTTAGAGACATTGCCTGAGACTCTGCTCAAGGCAGCCAGTGACTTCCAGCTGAAAGGTCTTCGGAGGGAGCCCTCAAAGTTGTCGTCCACTAGCTCAACGATGACAGAATAGCTGGAAGACAAGAGAGGCATCCTGGAAGAGCTACACTATCAACTTGTTCAGAGAACAGTGTCTTACTAAAAACTAAGACTGAAGGATTTCACATCGCCTGGGGGTAAAAGCCTACACCGCTAAAGAGAATTATTAATGACCAATTGGATGGGAAGCTACCCCCTTTAGGCTGATGGCACACTTCCTGACAGGAAAGACTAGAAATACTTTTCTCAGTGTGAAAACAGTAAATTCATATGGCTGTTTGGATATTCATACTCACTGGCTGCTCTGAAGACTGTACACGTCCATGATGTGCACAGTGTAACAAGGCCAGTATCCCATCATTTCCCTGCAGGGCTGATCATGGAACCCAGGGCCTCATACAAGCATTCTACCCCAGGCTCAGCCTGAAGCCTGTGGGATCAAACTTCCTTCCTTCCTCTCTTTTTTTGAGACATTATGTAGCCCTGGCTAGCCTGAAATTTGCTATGTAGACCAGGCTGATCTCAAACTTATAGAGCTCCACCTGCTGCTTCCTCAGAGTGCTGGGCTTAAAGACAGTTCTACCACACCTGGACAGGAATATAACTTTTTAAAGATACATATTTTATTTTTATAAATATTAGGTTTGGGCTGGAGAGATGGTTCAGTGGTTAAGTGCATTGGCTGCTCTTCCAGAGGACTTGGTGTCAATTCCCAGAACCCACATGACAGCTCATAACTGTAACTCCTGTTCCAGAGGATCCAACACCCTTATGCAAACATATATGCAGGCAAAACATCAATGTACATAAAATAAAGTATTAAAAAAGTAAGTATAGGTGTTTGCCCACATATGTGTTTGTACACCATATTCATGCCTGTGTCTGTGATACCAGAAGAAGATATTGGATCTTCTTGTTGTAAGCCACATGCTTACATGTGCTGGGAACTGAACCCTGACCCTCTGGAAGAGCAGCCCTGGTTGTCCTTGAACTTGCTCTGTAGATCAGGCTGGCCTTGAACTCCTAGAGCCACCTGCTTCTGTTTCTTGAATGCTGGGATTAAAGGCCTATGCTACCACTTTTAATTGTTTCTGAGATACTGAAAATTAAATGGAGCCAGAAATTCCCTTGTGTTCTTTCATTTAATTTATTTAAAAATTTCCAAACCTTGCGTGGTAAAATGGAGGGCCTTTCCGATACAGCACTGCAAAGAAGAGAAGGGAGATGTTAACCCATTACAGTCAAGCTGAGCGAGGCAAACACCCAGCTCTCTGCATGAGGGCACTCTGCTCTCTGCCCTCCAGCCTGCTTCAGATCCAAACTCCTTCTCCCAAAGAAGTTAGTCAAAGCTGGCTGGCGATGGCACAAGCCTGTGATCCCAGCATTTGGCAGGCAGAGGCAGGCAGATCTCTGTGAGTTCGAGACCAGCCTGGTCTACAAAGCAAGTTCCAGGATAGGCTCCAAAGCTACACAGAGAAACCCTATCTTGAAAACCAAACAAACAAGAAAAAACAAACAAACAAACCACTGCCCAAACTGACACCCTGGCCCAGACCACAAGCAACTGGCCCAAGTTAAATATAAGACCTGAAAGGCTGTACCTTTTCAGACCTTTCAAATACTGTGAAATTTTTATCTGAGTTCCACAAACACTTCTGAAGACCCAGGAAGCACTCACTCGTATGACCCCTATGGAAATGGGATCTGGTGACTATTAGGAATGATTCCAGGGCTGGAGGGGAACCCAAAGATAGATGGTCACTAGCCTGGGTCCCTGACACCTACAGCTCCCAGGGGCTGTCATGGTGTTCCCACACCCCAGGACTGTTTGTCTCCTCTTACAATCAGAGAGAGCATCAATAATGTCTCAGGCTCCAAAATCTGAAGTTTTCCTTGTGGGGGATCACAACTAGGGCCTCAGACACAAAAGGCCTAAGCTTCCCATCAAGCTCCACCCAGGCCCCTAATCTGAAGTTTGCTGAGTGTGTTAGAAACTTTCACAACATGAAACATGCTTGTGCATAAAGTCATTAAAAAGATAAAGAGTATTAAGTCCAGCCTAGTGTTTAAGGTCTTTTGCCAAGAGACCTCTCTTGTTAGTGCCCGAAACCCAAAATGCTTCTGTGGCCAACCACTGAGATGAGGACTCGCAATATGAGTCTCTGAAAACAACAAAGATACGAGCCAGTCCCTACAAGCCACCTGGTTCCTCTACATACAGTGCCACTCCATTGTGTTGGTGGGCTGTCAGGCCCAGCGTTGCTGACCAGTTTCTCCTCTATTTTGGTTCTCTTCCATTACTGTTAAGACAGCACTCAGAGGGTCCCACTAAATTGGGTCACTTGGAAGACTTATCACTCCCCTAAAACCCAGACCTGGTCCCAGCATGACTCCCTTGGGACCCATATTCTCCACACTCTTGCCTCTGTGCTGTTCCTGAGACTTGCTGAACGCGTCCTGCCTTAGCCTCTGTGCCTGCAATTTGCTCTGCCCAGCTAGCCCTTCCCAGACACAACTCTCTCGCACTATGCTCACATTCCACTGGGGAGGCAGTGACATGTAGAAGTGCCTGTGAGCCTGTACACTAGAACCAAAGCCTGAAAGTGACTGGCCTGGAAACACTGAGGGTACGTGGCCTTTCCTCTCCCAATGGAATAAGGAGCACAAGTGGCATACAGAATAGCAAAGGGCTGGCATAAGGAAAGTGCCACAGGAATGTACAGCACCATGCCTGACAATATGTCCTCAATAAATGACAGCTGGGGACATCTTCACAACTCTAGGACTCTGCTCGTGTGGAGGATGAGGCAAGTGAAGCTGCAAGGACACAGGCCTGACCACAATCACACAAGCTCATGGCTCAGGTGCAGCAGGTGCCATAGAACTCTTGTCCATGATTAAAAGAGCCTTCATCTGCCTGTGGGCTTCCCCAGCACACTGCCTTCTCACTGTGGATTTAACCCATCCCATCCAAATACCCAGCCTTTGTATCATCAGGCAAAATGGGCTGACTGTGTCCTCGAATCTGCCACATACACCAAGAACTACTCACACAAATCTGTTCCGTATTTGAGCCCCACTTTGGGCACCCAGCCTTTGCTTCGAAAGTAGTGGTAGGCCATGTAGGTAGTCCTGAAGGTGGGCTGGACTGCAGTGAAGGCTTTCCAGAGCTTCACTATTGTTAAAGGCTCCTAAAGTGGAAAAAAAAAAAAAAAAAAAAAAAAAGACATTAGTTTGCATGTATTTACTCCCACTCAGTAAGGGAGCAGACATCTGGATTACAATGGTAGTGCAGCAGCAATAGAGACCGGACCCACACTGACTACGTGACAACAACCACCAGGAGTGGTAATTTGGTTCATGTTGGGTTAATCGTTCCCCTTGCAGTGCTGGGTGTGCAAGACTGGGCCTTGTGCGCACTTACTCAAGTACTCTACTGCCCTCCTGCACATGTGCAGTTAAAAAAGCTATGCACATTAAAATTGGTTCTGTGGGTGGTGAGACAGTCTCATGACGATAGCCCAGGCTGGCCTCGAACTTGCAGTCTTCTCATGTCTGCTTCCCAAGTGCCACCAGAAAAGTCTCCAGTGACCCATGTGGTTCCCACCCGAGGCTCTCACTCATCTCTTCTGCAGCAAGACTTTAGAGAACCCAGAAAACACTGAGGCCGGGGTGCAGCTTAGTGATGGAGCATGGGCTCAGCATACACAGGCTCCAGGCCTTGGGAGAGGGATAGGGAAAGGAAGAGGGAAGACTAACATCTAGGAATGAGAAGCAGCAAAGGGCAAGGGTCAGAGCCATGTTAAAAGGTGGGAATCTGGGTGTGGTGTTGGACTCAAGTGTGACAAGCCCACTGGAGCTTGTTAAAACACTGCCCTTTAGAGAGCAGCTACTGCAATGGCAGGCTGGGCTCAGGAGAGTACAAATAATTCTGTAAAAGGAATTTTCATTAAAGACCCAAAGATGAACCCTGGCTCTAGAGATGAAGCCCAGGGCCTTGTTGACCCTTTGCCAGTGAGCTGTGGCCCATCCATATCTGTGGAATTAAAGTTTAGCCTGCGCTGAACTGAGCTTGTCTCACAGGTGGCTGAGCCCCAGCCAGCTGATGAGTTGATTCTTTCCCAAAGGCACCCCCTCTTCAATTGCCAAAGGGTCAATGATGACAACACCCTGGCCAAGGTGAAACCACAGACTTTGAAGTCACCAAGATATGGGTTTACCAGCTGATTCTAAACACACTAGCCAGGTGGCCTTGGCTGAGTTGCTTATTTTCTCATTTTCTCTGAGCCTCAGTTAGCTTGCTAATGCATCATCTACTAAGAGTCAGGAAGGATCAGAATCAGCACAGGCAAGCTAAGAGCCATGGCTCACACATGTAATTCTAGCACTTAGTGAATTCCAGGCCTGCCTAGGCTACAAAGGGAGATCCTGACTCAAAAGCAAATACAAAGGATTGGAGAGACTGCTCAGTGGTTAAATAAGAGCAACCACATGGCAATTCATAACTGTCTGTGCTCTAGTTGCAGGAGATCCAAGGCCCTGTCTGGCCTCTGTGGGCACCCAGCATGAATGGGCTGCACCAACATGCAAGCAAAATGCCTATAACATAAAAATCAAATAAAACAGAAAACAAAACCAAGATATAAAAAGTCCAAACAAACAAAAACCAGTGAATTTAGGGCCTGGCACAGGCATGTACAGGACGGGTATATTGGTGACTTTGATGATTTTGCAGTGCTGGGGGTGGAACGAGGCCTCAGGCATGTCAAGCAGACACTCTGCTCCTGAGCTACACCCAGCTGCGGTTTTGCTCTTTGTTGGTGGTTTTAGAACCATCCAGATACAGGTTTCCTTCTTGCATAACAAGCCACACTTCCCGAAGATTCTGAGGAAGACCCAATCTAAAAGGGTCACCCTGGCTTGTGCCTGAAGTGCTCCAGCTAAGGCTCCAAACCCAAAACTTACAGGAAAAAAGGCAATTCCTACTTTTTCCAGTCAAAGTTGACACATTTGCATTAAAGCTCCATGGGAAGGGGTCAACCCACTGTTAACATGGGACTATGAAATCATGTGTACACAGAAACTTACCTTCTCATAGTAAATACTTAAACATCCCAGGGCATACGTCAGGAAGAACGCCTACAACAAAGCGGGGAAAGATCTCATTAGAAACGCTGCTGCTCTCCTAGGATGGGTGTGTAAGCAGCCACCTAGCACGCCCGTGGTTCACCCCAGCATCACCCAACAGAAATAAAAATAGCTTTCTGACAAAGTCAACGTGTTTCCAAACACTAACCTCATCCCATCAGCCGCATGTTGTGTCTTCTGACCCAGGCATCAGGATCTACTACGATCATCAGGTCTCAGGTACCCAGGAGATGGGGTGGTAGGCAGTACTAAAAGGTAGCTTATAGCGACACTGGGTTTCTTTGTATTTTATTGACTGCAGACCGAGGACTTCCTGCATGCCTGAACTACTCTGTCAAATTACACTCCAATATGACTTTTCTAGAACCAAAGTATCTGAAAGGGCATGAGACATGCTAGCCACAAATAATGACAAATGGCCCCTGCCTCCAGGTTCTGGGCAGGAGGGTCCCTGAGTACAAACAGGACTTGGCCTGGTGTATGTATGGCAATAAGTGGCCAGAAAGCTAAAAGGCCGAAATGTCCAGGGATGAGAGTGTGCAGGGCCTCCTCAGAACTATCCAGAGCCCCTGGACACAGTGTTCTCCACAGCTGCAGGTCTCTAAGGCTGCCTGGAGGGCGCCTCAAAGTCAAAACAAAATCCTCATTCGTGTTCCTATAGAACACGCTCCAAGCCTGTGGTGAGACCATGGCAGAGCTCGTAACAGCCAGACCTTACAGTGATCTGCCAAACAGGACCAATATTCTCACTCAGCTTGATTTGGAAAAGTTATATATATGAAAAGTTTTCACATAAGTACTATTTACAGCAGGATGTGGTGGCTCAGTCCTGCTTCTGGAATATGCTCAGCCCTTCCCACTCTTGCTTTTCCAAGGACCACTCTTGCTCTCTGCTGTGTTAATGGTCCTTTCCTCACCACAGGCTCTAGCCACTCTTTTGCCTGCCTCCTCCAGAGCACTTGCTTTTGTCTGGAAATGTCTTGCGTCCAAGCACCTCTCTGAGGAGAAGCTCTGTCTCTCAGCCTACAAGACTGTTTAGCTCTCTTCTAGCGAGTGTTCAATGCTTGTGTTCAAAGAATGAAAGGAGGGTTGGAGAGATGGCCCAGAGGTTAAGAGCTCTGATTGTTCTTCCAGAGGTCCTGAGTTCAATTCCCAGGAACCACATGGTGGCTCACGAACATCTGTGATGAGATCTGGTGCCCTCTTCTGGCACAAAGGCATACATGCAGGCAGAATACTGTGTACCTAATAATAACTAAATCTTTAAAACAAAGAAAGAACTAAAGGTGCTATGATAAAGCTCCAAGGGAACCGTGGCAGATTCCATGGCAGATGAGGATGATTGAGGTGGGGAACAAACATGTCAGACAGACAGAGCTTAGTGAGAGCTTTATAGAAAGGGAAAAGGGGGAAGGAAAGAGGTAGAGAGAGAGGGCAGCAGAGAAGAGGGAAACAGGAGAAGTCCTGTCTGCCACAGGGGAACAGCAGGAAAGAGAGGGGAAGAGAGTATAAGTGGGCAGGGGGTCTTCCTTTTAAAGGGGTCCTTTGCACCTGTGTGCAGACTAGTAGTCATGGAATCCTGGGCTGACCAGAGCATTGCCTGAGTGCATTCTGCCAGGGTAAGGCCAGCATAATGCCTGGACCCTTACAAAAGAAACCCCAATCCCCCAATGCCTGCCTTGGCTCAGGCCCAGGTGGCTAGATCCACTAGGGGCTTCTGCACCTGCCGCAGCTTGGTCACATGGCCCTAGCTGTCTAGTTCTCAGTGCTTGCCACAGCCCAAAGGCCGGCTACAGCCCTGCCTTGGCCTCACTCTTGTCATCACCTTTCCTAAGACTGAATACCGCAGTTTTTAGATGGCCCAGGGTGACCAGAAATAACACAGAAAGATAAAACTGTCCCCTCAGGCAGACAGGTTCCCTTCATTTTGTCAAATTTGCATTCCTTGGTTCAGAATAGTGCAATACAAAAAAGAATTGGCCTCAGAGGAGCACGGTGGAGACGGAATAAGGTCTAAGCAGACCTGGGTTCAAGCTTTCACTTAGTAGTTTAAATTAATGAAATTTTTAATTTTTATTTTATGTGTATGTTTTTTTTCTGCATGTATGTATGTGTACCATTAATGTGTCACGGACCCAAGAAGGCCAGAAGAGGGCATCAGATCCCCTGGAACTGGAGCCACCACATGGGTAATGGGAGCAGAACTTAAGTTCTCTTGAAGTTAAGTGCCAGGGCTCTTAACTACTCTCTCCCATCTCACTAAGGGTTTGGAATCAAACCCTCACGAGACAGGGGAGGGAGGTCTGCGACACTGGTATCACCAGCAAGCTTTCCCTTTTGGGTGCTGAGGTAGAGGTGAACCTGAGGACAGTTTTTCCATCACATGGCTTATTCAGGTAGAGCCCACAGCACTGGAAAATCAGATCTCAGAGGCAGACCTCTTGGAAGCTACCGAGCAGCATTATTCAGTGATCACATGACTCCTTAAAGGAAGAGCCAGAGGTGGAGGGGGTGGGGGGAGAGGAAGAGCAAACAAAGAATCAATCAGAGTGGTATAGTCTGCTATGGGCAGGGTTCAACACAGGACAGAGAAGAAGCCACCCATGGAAGATGCTATCTATGTTACAGCTGTCAGCATCCAGAGATCCAGAGAAAAGGCAAAAGCCACACACGTGGTGTAGTCCCTATGAATTTTTCGACACAGGGTTTCTCTCTGTAGCTTTGTAGACCAGGCTGTCCTCGAACTCACAGAGATCTGCCTGCCTCTGCCTCACAAGTGCTGGGATCAAAGGCGTGTGCCACCACCACCTGGGGAATTTTTCTTATTTATGATGGGCACCAACAATTTAGAGAGGACAACTTGCTATGGGGGAGGGAATGAAGGCCACCGAAGAGTCAGGAACCCAACCACATTTGTGTTAAGTTAATGTGGTATCTGATACTGAACATGAACTCAAAGAGGACTGTTACACTGAATAAGCAGAAAGGACGCATCTGAAGTGTACCCCCAACTCTTTCCCCTCAAGCTTTTCCTTAGCAAGTCACATCCTTCCACAAGTTACAATCAAGCCAAATTCTGCTGGAGCTCAGTTTAAATTCAGAGGAAAATACAAACAAACAAAAGTACCTGCCATTCTGTGTCAGGACAACAGACAGCATAAAAAAACTAAACTGGGGCCACATGTACTCAGAGATGTTGCATCCTTGGTGAGATGTACACGTAGTTTCATACCTTCCAGGAAAGGCACCCAACACATGACACATCTCATTTGATCTTCACTATAGCCCTCTGGGGGAAACATCCTGGAATGTCACCACCAGAAAACTCGGGTGACACCTCTCATGTGCTATGTTGATGAGGTCAGTATTTTCTCCCTACTCATCTTTTCTGGTTTTTTGAGACAGGGTTTCCCTGTCTGACCTGGAACCTGATATGTACATGTAAGTGACCTGGAATTCACAGAGATCCCTTTGCTTCTGCCTCGCAGTGCTGGGATTAAAGGTGTGGGCTACAGTGCTCAGATCTATTTATCTTTGTCTATCACTTCACTTCTATCTTAACATGGAGGGGAGCAAAGCCAGGGTTGCAGGCATGCTAAGCAAATGCTGTGCCATGGAATTATGATCCGGGCACCGTCATCTTATTTACTGCCATTTGTCACTGCAAATGTTTTAGACTTCAGGCTGTAGAGTCAGATGGCTTAGGTCCAAGTACTGATCTTGAGCAAGGAATTTAACCAGCCTGAGGTTCAGTTTCTTCCCCATCAGAAAGATCACAACAGGATCTAGGGTGATACGAGGACTTGAGATAATACACAAATCAGTCCTTAGCAGAGACACTAAGACCATGCACATGGAACTTAAGACCAGCACATACACTATTCCATTGTTCTCGTTATGTGTGACTTCCTCTTGAGCCCTAATCCTGGGTCAATGAGAGACACCCCTGTGGATGTTCCCTCTCCCGTGAAATGAAATAAGCACAGTGCAATCCCCACAGTATCTGGAGCAGATAATGCAGGTGAGGCAGACGGGGCAGGTGCTGTTGCAGGAGCTCGCTTCCTCTGCCCCAACTGCAGGTCCCCAGAACAGGAAGGAGGAGGCCCCCCGACCCTGCCCTGCCTGCCACTCAGGTCCTCCCGAAATGTTGGCTGAACAAAAGACCATAATAGGAGGGACACATCCCTACTTGCATCATTCCTTCCAGGCCCCAGCAGCCTCCCTTCCCCCCAACAGTCAGCCAGAGGGCTCACAAGGAGGATCTCATCACCCAAGGACAATTACTGTGTACAAAGGATACAGAAATCATGGCACACACCAACAGTGGGATTTCATTCCACCACAAAGAAAAGCAAAACGATACACTTGCAGGGAAATGAAGATCATTATGTCAAACACAATACAATAAACCATTGGCTCAGAAGGTCAAATTCTGCAGGATCCCCCCTCACCCCGTCTGTAGTCTGTATTTTCCCCTAATCTACATTTAAATTTATGTGTGTTGGTCATAAAAACAGAAAGGATGATGTGAGAGGATGAAATGTTCAGGGAGGGGGGACGGGAAAGAAGGTAATGGGATCCAGGTGGGAGCAGGGGGTGTGTTTATCTATAGAGGGCAGCAAGGGCTTCACTAAGAGGGGACCAAGGGGTGAGGGAGTACAGTGAAGGGGTCCATGAGATGAGACTAGAAGGAAGGAGCATGGACCAGGGAGCAGAGGATGACAGACACAGCCCTGAAATGACCATTGTGGACAAACACAACAAATTCTCCAGAGACCTACAAGTCTGTCAGGAGCTGTGGTGCTGCTGAGCTACCCGAGAAGCCCAGGAAGGGCCCACCGCCTCCCTCAGCAGAATGACAGTTCTGTGTGCAGAGCAGATGGATGCAAGAAGGGAGGGTCTCAGTTACTAGAGGAACACATCAGAGGGGCAGTGTTGTTTTAGGACACTTCAGAATGCGACTAACTCAGTGAGTGGAGCACACTAAGGCATTCTGCAGAAAGAAATGCTTAGAATCAACTCATTCACTCAGCAGTCAGTACGTGATCAGAGTCACACAGCAAATTGAAAACAGTCAGTCGGTTCTGCAATTAAAAAAAAATTGAACTCTCTCCCTCTCTTGTTGTGGGGATTCTCTCTGCCAACAGCTCTGGGGTACAGGCCTTAGGGTGTGGCCTGGGGTGCTACCTGAGTACTGAAAAGCTGGTGGTGTGGGATCAGCAGCGGCTTCCGCCTTACTTTGTATCTGTGAGTTTGTCCTTTTCATCATGAGCTCACGCATCACTCTTATTTTTTCTTTAAGAGTCTGACTATGCTGTTTAAGCTGGCTTTGAATTTCTGGGTTCAAATGATCACCCTTCTTCAGCCTCCCAAGCAGCTGGGGCCACAGGTGCATGTGGCCACACCAGGCGGACTGCTTTTGTTTTTGCAGTCCTGGGGATTGATCTGGGGCTTTGTGAATACCAGGCGGGCACTCTACCAACGACCTTCACCCCCAGCCTGAGCCACACACTGCAAATGAAGGAACTGGTATGCTAATTACACCTCACTAAAGATTACTTTGTAAAAAGCTGATGAAAGTAAGCTGGGCATGGTGATACACACCTTTAAGCCTAGCACCCAAGAGGCTGTCAGGGGGATCTACGTGTTTGAGGCTAGTTGTCTATATAACGAGTTCTTGGGCAGCCAGAGCTACACCATGATACCCTGCCTCAAAGCAAACAAAGAATAGACAAATCTGTGTCATGAAACCTTGCTGAGAAAGAAGGATTCAAGTTGGGTGCGGTGGTACACACCTAAATCCCAGCACACCTGAGGCAGGAGGCCTGAGAATTCAGGCTAGCCTGGGCTACGTAGCAAGAATCCATTAAAAAGAAAAAAAGAAAAAAAGGAAAAGAAAAAAAGGAGGAAGGAGGAGAGAAAAATGGGAGGAAGAGGGGAGGTCTCATACAAACTCCTTAAATGCTCAAAGCTGGCTGCTTTCTTTCCTTGCTGAGGGTTTGAACCCATGACTTTCACTCCATTTCAGTGATTTCGCTGAGCTACAACCCAGCTCCAGCACACTCTGAACTGACGAGACAGGTGGAGGGTCAGCATGCTGGCAGGTCTCAACGGTCAGCATTTTATACAGAGCTGCTCTGCTCTCTGAGGAGGTTCGGGTGCTCAGAGCACAGAGCTAGACTCACCCAGGCTGAGACACAAGATGCATACATACCTCTTCTAGGCTGAGCTGCAGATACTCAAAGATCCTGTATGGATTTCTTCTGCACACCAGTCTCTTTCTCTGCAGCAACTACAAAGAAAGGAAGGAAGAGAACCAATCACCTGGGACACAGGTGAACGCCACCTGGCAGGAAGACTGAATCCCCAAACGAGCAGTTTTTTGATAAACTCAATGCTGACATGTTGTTGAGTAAAATAACCTTCGTGGACAAAGCTGTTCTGATGTTTCTGCTGCTAACAGATTTTCCCGGAATGATGTGACTCTTTACTGTTAAAAGCAGTGCTACCACTCACAAGCTATGTGCCAGAGCCTTCACTTTCTTAGCTGTACCTGAGATCAGGCAATTGCACTGCTTTTCTTCTCCCAAATAAGACAGACGATTACTTAACTTACTTAAAAAAATTTTTTTTTTAAATTTGAATTTTAGTGGAAACTGTCCTCAGCTGCTGTGCAACTGGGACTGTGCCTCAGTGGTGGCCTCCAAAGCACCATACCGGCCCAGTGTTGTCCACAGGCCTGCCTGGCGGCAAGTGAAGGGCATCTGCGTGGGCTGACATCTTCTGCTGGTCAGCGGCAGGTGGCTCTGGAGAAATGACGGTGGATGCCTACAACCATGGGTAGCACTAACTCCATTGCTATACTTTTCCTATCCACGTCCAGTCACGGTAAAGCCTGCATTAGTGAGAGACTAGCAACAGTCACTACCAGGAAAGGAAAGGGACCCTAACACACTGCAGTGAGAGCAGTAACGGATGTGGACTCCCTGTTTAAAAAGCCAAGGCAAACAGCTGTGTTCTCGGACGGTAGCTGTCTGTAACTGAAGCCCAGATGAGGAAATATCATACTTTGTTTTACATACCTTCTCATCTGGGGCCTCGTCCTCCTGGACATCACACAGCTCTTCCTCTACGAGTACATACTCATGAGCAGCCCTTTTCTCTCCTGTTGTCCGGCTGCTGTCTTCAGGCCAAGGGCCATCCTGGGGAATGAGGGCTTCCTGGTTATGGCAGGGGACTTGGGGCAGAACTGTGGTGTCTTCTATCACATGTCCATTAAGGCTAGATGGACTAGACACAGTGAGTGTGGCATGGTCAGGCCCCTCCTGTAGGCAGTCTGAGTGTGTGTTGAGACCCTGCAGGTCATCTGACTGTCCAGCACCTCCAGTGGTCACAGGGAGTTCATCCTTTCCCATTCTGCCTTCCAGGGAGGAGTTGGCCTTGGAATTCAGTGGGTCATACTGTGGGGTCTCCTCTTTCTCCTTTCTGCAAGGGAGCTCCAGTGGCCCTGTGTAGTCTGTCAAGATCTTTCGCACAGTGCTCTCATCCTGGCCTTGTCTACGCATGAAATCCATGGCCCATTCCACTCGACGCTGATACCTGTCCAGAGAAACACTGTCAGTAACACAACTCCAGGACAACAAAATGACCAAAAAAGTCGGCAAGATGGCCCACCAGGATGTCGAATGTTCCTAAGGGTGGGCTACAAGCAGAGCTTGCCTCCCTCACATTCTCCTACATCTAATTGTCCAGCAACACGCATGTGCCACTGGCCCTTTGATATCATTTGCTTACTTTGACAAAATTAACCCCCATTTAACAAAGTGTGAAAACATGTAATTTAAAACCAAGAGATGCTGGTAAATAAGGCAGAGAAAATATCGACGTTTACTGGCATCCATTTTGTCTTATTTTTAATCTTGGTTATCACGAAGTTCATTACAGATACTCCTTTCATAAGATCCTTTGTTTAGTATTGAAAAGGGAATGTCAATCAATATTTTTCACAGCACCCATGAACATCACTGGATATGGAAAGAAATGGTTTGCCTTATTATACAGTTCACGCTTGTTTTCTGTTTTGATGAAACACTCTGACCAAAAGCAACTTGGGGAGGAAAGGATTTCACCCTTAGAACTCACAGGCACTATGAAGAAACCCTGGGCAGGAGCTTCAAGCAGGACCTTGAGGCAGGGATGCTAGCTTTCTTTTCTTTCTTTTTTAACTCACAGAGATCTGCCTGCCTCTGCCTCCTGAGTGCTGTGATTAAAGGCAGGCGCCACCAATGCCTGGCCAGCTAGCTTTCTTATACAGCTGTAGTGATATATTATTTATGATTTATTAAAGCTTGACTGAGGATTCAGAAAAGCAAAGTTAGCCTCAACTATACAAATCAGGCAGTGATGAACACACCTTTAATCCCAGCAGCCAGAAGCTAAGGAGGTGGAGATACACACCTTTAATCCTAGGACTCAGGATTGACAGACAGATCTGAGTTCAAGGCCACCCAGATCTACACAAGATTGAATCAGCCTAAAAGAGAATTATAGCTCACACCTTTAATCCCAGCACTAGAGAGGTATAAAAGATAGAAGCAAGGATTCAGTAGGAGGCTTCAATCTCCAGCATCACAGGAGAGGCAGCAGTTTGAGACTTGGTGAAGAGCTAATGTGTGGTTCAGTCCTTTCAGCCTGGACTAAAAGTGAGAGCTAGTGGCCGGCAGTTTTGCTTCCCTGATCTTCAGCTTGAACCCCAATATCTGTCTCTGGATCTTTTATTTATTTGTGTTACATACAGCTCAGACCCACCTGCCTAGGGATGGCACCACCCTAGTGGTCTAGCCCTCCTCCGCTAATTAGTTGAGAAAATGCCCTGTAGACCAATCTGACCCAAGCAATGAACTATGGTTTCTTCTTCCCATCTGTGTCAAGTTGACATTTAAGATTAGCAGTCACCACACACACACACACACACACACACACACACACACACACACACACACAGAGAGAGAGAGAGAGAGAGAGAGAGAGAGAAATAAATCCCCCTTCGGAATATAGTAACACATTACGAATTACATTTCTATATTCAAAGAGCTGAACACTTGCCAAGGTACAAAGACCATGAAAACATGGCTGTATCAGGACATTGCTGGGATGTGTTCCTGTGACATCAGAACCTATTGCAAACAGAAGGTCAGCAGAAGGCTGACCTCAGAGGCCAACACCCGAGGCTCTGCCCAAACCCAAGAAGATGCATTTAATTTCATTCCTCACCTGTGTGCTCAGATACCTGGACATATCAGGGTGCACAAACTATCATGTCTCACACAATCCAGCAGGCAAACTGTCTTTTGCACCCAGAAAGAACCGTGTCTGCTTCACCTTGGCTCACCAGAACCCAAGTTATTCCACATTGGTCTTCCTACACACAGATGAGCATACATCCCTGTACACTGGGACTGAATCTTTGACTAATTCATTTATTGCTGTTCTGGAGATTGGACTTAGGGCTACAAGCAAAGGCAAGAGCTCAACTACTCTATCACTGGGCATTATTCTTCCTTTTTTTTTTTTTTTTTTTTTTTTTTTTTTTGAGACAGGCTCTTTCTGAGTTGCCCAGGCTGCTGCCTCAGTTCCTTCCTTCCTTCCTTCCCTCCCTCCCTTCCTTTTGCCATTAAAACTTCCCCCCCCCACTTCCTTTCCCGCCTCTCCTCTCTCCTCTGCCTCAGTTTCTTGAGTAGTTGGTATTGCAGACCTGTACCACCAGGCCTGACTGAACCTTAGATTTAAAATCTGAAACATAGCAAGGCTGCTCCAAAACCTGTATTAGCACAGTATACAATGTGGAGAATCTGTTCTTGCACATTTGGGGTTTAGCCTGGACTCCATCTTTTACTACTGTGTAGATTACTTAGCTTCTGTTTCTGTTTCCTCCCCTACAAATTGGGGATACTAGTCCTACTCGCTCACAGAGATCTCAGGTCTCTCCCACTGGCCAGACCACCTCTCCTACCTGATCAACCATGTCCAGTTATTATCTGGGCCATTCCAGAGGCAGCTTTGGAAGGCCCAATTCTGATCTCCAGGAAGGAGCTTCCCAAGGTTCAGCTCTTCACCTGCAGAGCATGGTATCAAGAGGACTGAGGGGTCTTCACGGGCTGGGGTGAGGACTCAGGAGACAAGAGAGGAGTTGATCATGTGCACAGCACCCCTCACACCACATACTATACTCTAGCCACTGCCATTTAACAGCTGCTTTATTGTTCTCATGTGTCACCTCCTCTCACTCTGAAGCTGAGCCTACTTAGTCATCAGAAAGCTATTCCATTAGTGTATTTTTTTTCAATTTAAGATGAGGTCATCCTGACTGGTGTAGTTAACAGACGAGGACACGAGGAGACATACACACACACACACACACACACACACACACACACACACACACACACAGGAGGCAGGGACTAGCCAAGAAGACCCAGGGCTGCAGGTACCACCGGCAGCTGTGCCCTCCAGAGGGAGGTTATCCTGTCAATCTGCATTTTGGTCTTCTGGCTGCTAGAGCTGAAGGTGTATTTCTGTTGTTTCACCTCACTGAGTCTGCAGGCCTTTGGGCTGGCAGCTGAAGGAAACATGCGTGAGCTGAGGAAGCCCTTGTGGGCTCTCACGCTGTGGTCACTGCAGTGTCACTGAGTGGTGCCCTTCAGGGAGGTAAGACTCCCTTCCTCAGACAGGCTTAGCCTCATGTCATCAACACATCGAGCATGATTAGGAGGGGTCTTCAGCCCTGGATATGTTGGGATTAGCTGGGTATTGTACAGGTGTCTGTGGAGTCAGGGGAAATGCTTCCAGAATGTCTAAGAGGGCTTGACAGGGGCTTCTGTGAAATCCTCTGGCCCTACAGTGTGCAGAACAAGCAAGAAGGCAGGACCATCTGTCCACATGGGCTGGAAGACCTGCTCAGAACTGAGTCTCAGCATCTCAGGACTTTATAATACACTCTCGACATGACAGGAGTTGGTGTTTTGGGAGGCTGACCTCAACTGGCAACACATTTCAGATGCGATTTGAGCTACATTAATTTTGGACAGTTTGGTTGCGTCATCACAGATTACCTAATACCAGACCCAAGATACCACTGCACCACAGTCAGAGTCAGCCCCACTTACTTCTCTGAGGTGATTATAGGCATATCTGTCTGCACACCTGGAACAGAAAGACATTCTATTAGTTCCATACAGACTGTAATGACTCCTTCCACCACATGGGTCTGTGACTGCCAGTTTTGGAATTAACTAAACCCAAGTAGCTAGGCACACCTGTGAGGGATTTGTCTTGATTGCATCATTTGTGGTGGGGATCCCCACCCTAAATCTGGGCCACATCTTCTGGTGGCAGCCCACATAAAAAGACATGAAAAAGGAAGCATCTGCTTTTTTGCTTGCTTGCCTTCATTCTCTCTGGCAAGTTCATCTAACCTGCTGCTGAGGCACTCCCTTGCTGGCATCAGAGCCCACCTCTTCAGGATCCCCACACAAACTAAAGACCGGCTGAGATAGCCAACATCATAGACTGAACAACTACTGAATTCTTGGACTGTCAGGAGACAGCCAGCCATTGTTGCACTAGCTGGACTGTAGCCTATAAGCCACATGAATACACACACACACACACACACACACACACACACACACACACACACACCAGTTCTGTCGCTCCAGAGAACCCTAACTAACACAGGGTCTAAGGAATCTAACTCAGGTCACAGGGTTGGTAGCAAGTATTTTCATCAAACCAAGCTGTCTCACCATCAGCCCCACAGTATGTTTAATAATACCATAGTTACTGTAAATTCTGCCTGTGCAAATAAAACACCAAGCTCATTTTGACAGCTGCACAGGCAGGCAGAACCTCCTGCACACAGCATCCTGCCAGGCAGGGTGTAACAGAAGAGCCTGAGTAATACTTTCCCCTGTCTTTTGAGGTGCAGTGGATTGAAATCAGAGCCCTGTGTATGTAAGACTTCTGACCATTCCAAGAAAAGTGAAACACATTTCCAAGAACCATAAGGATCTTTTTGCCTGGTCTGCTGGCATGTGGGAGATCCTGATTTCAAGGTTAGCCTGGGCTAAGTATCGAGACATTCTTTAAAAAAAAAAAAAAAAAAAAAAAGTCACACCAAAACAAAACAAAGAACTGTTTTGATGTAAATTTTTGTAGGCGTTCTTCCAGGCAGGAATGTTGTCAGTGTGCCTGTCTTCCAGAGCTTACCATCTCACCAGTACATGTAAGCGCCAAATGAAAGCTGTATGGCTTACCTTTCCATCTGGCAGCCAGCTTGGCATTGGAGATTGTGAAGTTCGGACGGCTTCTTGAAAGAATGCCTTTTCCAAAGTAACCCTTCCAAAAAGGAAACATGGTCGATGCTCAGTTGTTAGGCCTGCAGCTGTAGCAGAATAAAACTATTCAACAGCCTCGTGTTTCCCTGATTCTCTAAGGATCATACATTCCCACCTCTGTGGTGTGTGGTGTATGTAGTTGTTCATGTATATGTGTGCACAGGGGGGTGTGCATGTATGTACATATGGGAGAGTAGGTGCATGTGTGCACACGTCTGGGCGCCATCAATGTTGAGTATTTCCCATGGGTCCTGGGATCTGGACTTAGGATCTCATGTGCTTTATTCAGGGGTCATCTCTGAGCCCCATGGTTTTCAGCACCAGCTCGCCTATCTCATGAGGAATCACTTTGGCTTGCGTCTAGCATCCTGAAGGCACAAGGGCAGGCAGGGGCAGCTTCACATGTGACTCAAGAATGCATTGTGTGTGGGAGTGGACAAAGGCCCGATGCAGACAAAGGCCTCTTAGATTCCTTCCTACTCTGCACTGGACATAACGCTCTCTTCCTTGCTGATTCCCCACAAATGCACACTTTCCCTGCTTTTGACTATAAACAAGCAGAAAAAAAACATAATAATAATAATAATAATAATAATAATATGATTAAAATGTAACCAGCATATGAAAAACCTCATTCCATCTTGCATACTGTGAACAAAGGCCTCAGCAGTGAGCTGTAGGCAGATAGGACCCAATGATGCACCAGGGCCCCACTGACCTCACTGCAAATTCTCTAGAGAAGGTAGAAGACAGACAGGATGCCCATCAGCTGTTCTGAGCTAGGAATGAGGACAGGGTTTGGTGTCATAAGTATGAGACCATAGGGGAGAGCAGGTTCAGCTCAGAGGTGGAAGATAAGGACCTCGACCCAATCCCCAGCATCAACCCAAACACACAGATACTAAAACTGGACCGTGGTGATAGGGAACCACTCTATAGATCCACGATGTCACTGAATTAAAGGTATGCTTATGAGGGGTGAACTTGTTGGCTATAAGCTACATTTCATCCAGGCTTTGTGAATGCAGTGGTGGTGCACACCTTTAATGCCAGCACTAGGGAAGCAGAGGCAGGCAGATCTCTATGAGTTCAGGGCTAGCCTGCTCTGTAGAACGAGTTTCAGGGCAGCCAAGGCTATACAGAGAGACCCTGCCTCAAAAAACAAAACACTAAACAACAACAACAACAACAAAACCAAAACAAAAAACCCAACACAACAAAAACGATCCATTCCTTTAAATCTCATGTGTATGGGTGTTTTGCCCAGATGTATGTCTATATACCACATGTGTGCTTGGTCTTTCAGAGGCCAGGAGAGGGCACTGGATCATCTGGAACTGGAATTACAGATGGGTGTGAGCTGCCATTCTGGTGCTGGGAATTGGATTCAGGACCTCTAGAAGGAGTCACTGCTTTTAACGGCTGTCTCTCCATCAGGCTGCCTTTCAAAATTCCCCAGTAATAAAAAAGATATGGGGAGTGGAGCGGGAGAGGTGGGGGAAGCAAGCCAACAGTCTTATTTGAAGCCCTAACTGCCATAACTAGAAGCTGTCCTCATCTAGCAAGTCTCCAGACTGGAAAGAGAGCAGAGACCTTGGGGGAATTTTCCATAGGCCCTGGCTCTGCCCAGGAGCTGGGTCCTGTGCCCCAGGGAAGGGACAGAAGTCGGTGGGGGTGATCTTCAGTTTTTACCCATTACATTTCTGTAAATTACTTGTTTGTCTTTCATACACTCACTTCACCCTATGTGGTGCTGGAGGGTGGGTTTGTGGCTGGGCGTGTCTAGTTGTCAGCCTCACAGTCGAGGTTGGGAGGGTCTGCTTAAGGTGTCACCAGGGTTGCCAGGGCTCACCTTCCCATACAGCTGTTCCATGTCCTCTGCACCCCTGACTACCACATTGTTGCTAATCATTTCAGCTCGGAATATTCGGAATTCCTTCCTGGGACCTTGGTCCTGACCAAAGATGGGCAGTGGTGACTCGTAACTCTCATATACTCTTCTTTTCCTCTTCGGGGCACGGAAGACTGCCTCTGCCATTCTTCAAGGCTAACAGGCCTCTAGAGGACAGGGGAGGAGAACAGGTCAGTAACCATGGACTGATGCAGCCAGCACACACAGAACCAGGTTTATATGGTCTCTGGAAAAAGGCAGAGCATCTATAAAATAATGAATTACAAGACGCTATGGGAGAAGGACATGGTTGCACAGATAAGTCACCAGGGGTATCTCAAAGGCTGAGACCGATCAGAAGCCAGTGCCACCATCTTAACTGAAGCTGGTAGCACCAAGGCCTAGCCTCACACCCTGGGTATTCCTGCCTTTAAGGACAACATACTTTCCTTTCCTTGACCAAAAGACATTTAGAACCTCCCAGGAACTGCTAATACTCCTTGAGGATGTACAGATAAACCAAGCAAGAATGTGTCCTCAGCAAAGTGAGTCTAGTGAGACCTCCATCTTCCAAAGACTGACTTAAGATATATCATAAACCCTGGGGCAATCAGTTCTCAGGGGTTTCTGTTTGTTTGTTTATTTTTTTTTGTTTGCGTAATTGAAACAGGGTCACCATGTAGATGAGGATAATCATAAACTTCTGGCCCACCAGCCTCTACTTCCTACATGCTGGGATTTGAGGAGTGAGTCATTATGCCTGGAGCCCACTTTTAAAAGGAAAGAAGTCACTGCCATTTAGGGGTCAATTATGTTCTACCAAATGCCAGCGGGTGAGTGCAGGGACTCTGAAGCCAGACTGGCCATATTGAAATCTACTCTGAGTGCTAGTTTCCACAGTGCACACACTAAAACCAGGAAGCTGCTGCCTCTTAGTTGTGAAACCTTGGGCAAAAGTCCCCCAGCCGCCAAGGCTTACAGAGTGTGCTGTTGAATACTTGTTTAACCAAGCAAAGATATGTTATACTTGTTTAACTGTGTAAAGATGGGTTGCTGCTTTACCTTGCCTGCCTAAGGCAACTGATTGATCTAATAAAAAGCTGAACAGCCAATAGGGAAGGAGAAGGTATAGGTAGAACTTCTGGGCAGGGAGAGTAAGCAGGAGAAGAATTTAGGCTTAAGTAGAAAGAAAAAGAAATGACAGGGAGACACCAGGGGCCAGAAAGACAGACACATAGGAAGCAGGAAAGTAGGAAATACAGAATGAAAAAAAGGTAAAAAGCCCCGATGCAAAATGTAGAGGAACAGAAACAGGTTAAACTAAATTGAAAGAGCTAGTAGGAGAAGTCTAAGCTAAAGCTGAGAATTCATAATTGATAATAAGTCTCTGTATCTTTATTTGGGAGCTGGTTGGTGGCCCAAAGAAAATGCCAACTCCAAGAGTGCTTGGGACAGGACCTGGCACAGTGGCACTACCCATAACTGGTGATAAGGGTTATGAAGTGAGTGCCAGCAATGCCATTTCACAGCCAAGGCAACATTCAGGTCAGTAAGGCCTGAAAAGCGCCCTGAGAGCGATGATGCTGGATAACCGCAAGGCCATGGGGCTCAGAGCTCCAGCCCTCTCTGTGGGTCCTGCTCAAGCTCAGGCTGTGTCTGTTCACTATGGACTAGTTATGAGTGAGATGTCACACAACTGCCAAACAGGTAAGGCATTACCTAGAAGGAGCCAAGGAAGCTGAGTTAAGGCCTCTTTATTCTGGGTCTCACACTGACCTGAGGAGACAAAACAAGTGTGGAACACACACGAAAGCAAGTTGGATATAACACAGGGCTGCCGCCAGGCAACAGCTCACAACAGGAAGCATTAATGAGCCACAGTTCATGAGTCCATGCAAATGTGTACACTGCAATTGACAGACAGATGCTGTCAGCAGACAGGCAGGGATTCAAACCTGTAGCTGCCTAGGGTCAGGTCTGTACATGAGTTAACCTGAGACGTTACATGAAACTTAAAGGACACATATATAACCCTTCACAAAGGACAAAATACAATGATCTGGGTGCCCTTGCACTGAAACCAACTTCCATTAGACAATGGAGAGGTGCACCTGAGGAGGTGGGCGGCTTTAACATTTCATGACTATTAAAAGAAATCATGTGGCAGGAGCACTAGCGTTGTTTTTAGAGGATTCAGGTTCCATCCTCAGCACCCACACAGCAGCTCCCATCCATCTGTAACTACAGTCCCAAGGACCTAATGCCCTCTTGCCTCTGTGTGCACTGCTTGCAGGTGGTGCAAAGAAAAGACACACAGGTCAAACACTTTAAGTGTTGCATGTCGTAGTGCAAGAATATATATGCAAGCATATATATGTATGCAGGTATGTATATGAAAGCAATCATCACAATGTCCTGTCTTAGAACTGATAGTGTCCCAGATAGAAACACATCAAAACAAGGTTAAGTTCTTAGGACGTCAAGGAAACATACCTGAGCATTACTGTGCATGCTATGTATAATGTTGAACAGCATCTGTTACCACTCTACTTACTGTATGGTAAGGGAGCTGAAGGGCTGTTCTCCCGAGGTCACTGTAACTAGATATGATGACTGTCAGGCTGATAGCTACCCAGGCAAGCCTCTGGGTATGTCTAGGTTAGATGAGCTGAGATGGGAAGCCCAACCCTGAATGTAGACAACACTATCCCATGGGCTGCAGCCTCAAGAGCACAGAAAGTGGTGAAAACAAGCCCAGGAGCCACACTCTACTTCCTGACTGTGGTTACAATGTGAGCAGCTAGTCTGTTCTTGCATGTGGTACACAGAACATGCATGCAGGCAAAATACACGGGTAAAATAAACATAGCTTTAAAAGAACAAAAACGCTTCTTGTTGCCATGTGAGCAGAACACCATGATGTGAAAGGGCAACAGAAATAAATCTGGAACCATTGTAAGTGAAGGGGCCTAACTAAACTGAGTGCAGCCATGACAGGCTGCACACTAACAATACCGGGACTAGGCCTCACCCTTACCCTGAGGAGGGCCAATCAGAATTGAGACAAAAAAGTACTAGATGCTCCAGAACATTATGGAGAGCTTATCTAACTTGCATATAGTTGCCAATTTCCTTGTAGCAACAGCAATACCAATCACTGTTTGACAATTCAGGAGTTCAACCCCCATCTGAGCCCAGAATTTCCCTATCCCCCCATCATTTACTCCTTAAAGACCCTGCCTCAACTAAGCTCAGGGCTCCTGGATCCAACCACTGGGTCAAAATGGAGAGTCCAAGCTGGAGCTTGCAATAAAGGTTCTTGTTTTTGCATATGAACTTGGGACTCCTGGTGGTCTCTCGGGGAGGGGGGGGGAGCTCATGACTCGGGGCATAACAGTAAGCAGGCTCAGGGTTCCAGATACCAACTGGGCCACAGACACACACATGGCCCCAGAGAACTGTCCTTATCCCACAAAGAAGTTGAGGTCAGCCATTTGCTCAAAGCTGTTACTAGGGAATGCAAGTGGTGGCACATGCCTGTCATCCTAGTCCTCTGACTAAGACAGAAGGAGTGCTCTGAGATCCCAGGTCATCCTGGGCTATAGAGTGATACCTTATCTCAAAACAAAACAAAACAACAACCCCCCACCCAATAAATAGATACATAAACAAAAAGAGGAAGGACATCTTTTATGTGTCCAAGGCACATTTACTATATAGGGCAGACCCGGTCAGTTGTATGGAGGATTGAATGCCAAGGCTGTAACTTGCTTTTTCCTGGTGCTGGGGACTGAACTCATTCAAAGAAAGGAAGGAGGCACAGTCCCAGCGCCCACCCTACAGGAGAGAAACATGACTCTGGGCTGAATGTCCCTGCAAAGATTGCTACTCTTCACTTCCCAAACCTGGGCATGACTGATGCCAAAGCATCACAGGTGTATTTCTGTCCACAAAAAGCAAGGCCTGACCTGCTAGCCTAACTTTCATTTAAAAATTTTGGTGTTGCTATGTAGCTTTGTCTAGCTTTAATCTATCTCATTATGATCTCTCTGCCTCAGTCTCCCAAGTGCCCAGAGTAAAGGCTCGAACCATCACACCCAATGGTCAGCATAACTAACCCCTTTTAGATGCTCCAAAATGTCAATCCATGAACAAATAATAAAGGAAGGGGAGATGCATTTATTTTCCAGCACTCTTGGACCAGGTATCAAACAAGCCTCCCTTGGCAAAACTCTCTTATTGATTGATTGATTGATTGAGACAGAGCCACACGTGTAGCCCAGGCTGGCATCAAACTTCATACGTGACTAAGGATGGAGAATCTGTGTGAGTTCAAGACCAGCCTGGTCTACACAGCGAGTTCCAGGACAGGCTCCAAAGCTATACAGAGAAACACTCTCGAAAAACCAACACCCAAACCAACCAAACAAAAAAACCGACTGATCCTCTTGCCTCCACCTCGCAAACGTGAGGATTACAGGCGGGCACAGAACGCGCTGCCAACCGAGCCCCATTCTCAGCCCTCGTGGGTTCCCCATCACTTGAAAACACACTTGCGCCTGTGTTCCATGCTGCACAGCTGAGGTGCAGAGCTGAGGGCCAAGGCAGACCGGCTCCGGTCTGGGGCCGCCGGCACCTTGTCAGTCCGAGCAGAGCGCTCAGCTGTGCCAAGCTGTGCCGAGCAGGACGCTGTGCCACGGACGCTGAGTGACAGCCACCCCCCCCCACCCCACTCTCGCACGAGGCCACTTCCGCGCTGGACACCGGGACACACCCACACCGGACCGCCAGGCCTCTGGCCTCCAGTCAGTCTTACCTTTCCCGACCACGCGCGCCCACCGTTACCTGGGCAACCTGGGGCGGCGCTACAGCCGTCAAGCAGCGAAGCCGCAAAAAAAAAAAAAAAAAAAAAAAAAAAAAAAAAAACCCTCAGGCGCTCGCGCAGCCGCAGAATCGACCCGTTGCGTCCTAGCGCAGCGCGCCTGCGCACAGTATGGAGCCTGTTCATTTTGCCCTACTCCCTAGTTGAATCTAATGAGGAGGGCTGCTGGGTCACATACCCTGCTTTAATCTCCACAGCAATCCCACAAAATCCATTTTTTCCCCCTCTTGAGGTTGCGTAAGTCTCACGGCACAGCTTTAGTTTGCCTGGAACTCACGGAGTGCACCTACCTCTACTTCTCCAAAGCTGGGGTTAAAGATGCTCACCTCCTCAAAGTCACAACACAAGATCCATTTTTACGGATGAGATGTGAAGTGACCTGCCCCAAAAGACTGCCCTTGACTTTCTCAATATGACATGGATTTTTATTTAGTTATGTACCCCCACATGCTACAATGACGACCAACCAGGGAATACGTACCCAAAAGGAAAGGATTCATGCCTGGTACTGTGAACCTGATCAAAAACCTGTGTCTCAGGAGGTCATAGGGCCAAAGGGAAACCTACTACTGCTGTCTTGTTAAATGGAGATGTCAAACTACTTCTAAATATTTGGTTATATCCATACTGCTGCCTGCCCTCACCCACAGTCAGAGGGTGCTCAGCCTTAAATGGGATATGTATATTATTAACTCCTGTCTGACTAGGGCTGAAGAAACATTGAAAAAAAAAAAAAAGAGCAGAAAGAAGGTGAGAGCCAGAGAATGGGGAAGAATGCTGTGAAATGCTTGTGTTCTGGACATGAGAGAGCCCATGGCATTCATGAACTAGAGCAGCAGTGATTACACACACACACACACACACACACACACACACACACACACCACCGTGCCTCCTCTTAGATATGATCAAACCAGCAAGATCAGTTAACATTCTAGCAGGTGGTACTAATGGGATCAGATGGATTACCAAAAAGATAAAGAGCAGGGGGTATGCAGGGATGTGTGGGAGAGTAGGGTTGGGGGTGGCTATAATCAAGATACACTGTATACAAGTATGAAACTGTTGAAGACTACACAAAAGATATCAAATAATACAGACAAGCAGTAAAAAGATCATCTCTGCCAGGTGTGGTGGTGCATGCCTTTAATCCTAGCACTCAGTAAGGAGAAGCAGTTAGGGCTCTATGAATTGAAGGCCAGCCTGGTCTATTTAGCAAGTTCCATGTCAGCCAACACTATATAGTGAGACCCTGTCTTAATTCTTTTCTCCTTAGGCTGGGGTGTGGCTTAGTGGTAGAACTTGCCTAGCATTCAGAGGCCGTGGGGTTTAAACAAAACAAATAAAAACAACTTATTTGTCAAACTTCTAACCTTTTATATCTAGTATCTTTCATACTCTTTACATCCCAACTTTGATTTCCTTGGTGAAGTATTTGAAAATAATCCCTACCCAGGCATGGTGGTGTGTATTCACAGTCACAGTTACTAGGAAAGCTGAGGGGCTAGCATCCCTCAAGACTGGGAGTTCAAGGCCAGGCAATATACCAAGGCCCAATATGAAACAGGCAGTAGTGGTGCACACCTCTGAACACAGCATTCCTCAGGGAGGCAGAGGCAGGCAGATCTCTGAGTTCAAGGCTAGCTTGGTTTAGAGAGTGAGTTCCAGTACAGCCAGGAACTCACTCTCTAGATGGGGAAATCCTGTCTGGAAAAACCAACCACACCAACCAACCAACTAAACAAACAAACAAAACCCAACAAGAGGGGCTGGAGAGGTGGTTTGGGTTAAGAGTGCTGACTGCTCTTTCAGAGAATGTGGGTTCAATTTGCAGAACCTACATCAGTAACTCCAGTTCCAGGGGACCTGATGCTCTTTCCTGGTCCCAGTCACACACACAGTACACAGACATACATGTAGGTAAAACAATCATATACACAAAATAAGTAAACCTAGAAATAAAAGAATAAAAAAAAACCCAAAAAAACAAGAACCTCAAACATCACGTAAAACCTCACCCATGATATTCCAGTATGTATCTCTTAATGTATCACATGTGACACAGGCAAACATGCTCATTTCGATTGTTTATTTGATTCTATTTCTGATAATCATGTGTATTCTATAAAGTTAGCAAATATTGACCTGTTCTTCCCAGGAGAACACAGGGCTAGCTTCTGGCAGCCTGTAATCACAGCTTTTTCATCCTGTGGTCAATATAACCCTGTTTCGTACTGATGGTTCTATTTAAAGCCATTCTTTGTATTATCTGCTGTTGATTCATTAACACTGAACTTGAAGCCAGCAGTGAAGTAACTGATGCATGCCAGTGCCTTATCTGAGCCCATTTCCTTCAATAAATCGCATTTCCTGGCTGAGCAACACTGTAGCGCTTCAGCACTCCCCTGGAGGCATTTGAAACACTCTAATCAACAAGAGTGTGGAAATCTTGTGTACATGGCTGACTCTGGGTGTGTGTGAATCTGTGAGGGACTGCAAAAATGAGGCTTTTATTTTGAGGTCACACACACACACACACACACACACACACACACACACACACACACACACACACACACACTTACTTCCAGGGTAGTGTTAGAAACAAACAGAAAACAATCTAGGTAGCACAGAAGAAAACACAAATAAAGTGAAAGTAGCTTGACAATGCAATTCTTTATACGAAAATGGTGTGCCAAGACCCACAGCAGGCTTGCAAGGGGTAGAAACTTTACAGCAGGTGATGACTGTGTCTCTTCCCCATTGGCTGGAGTCTGAGCTCACAGACTTTTGCTATTGTTAGTTTTGAAAGAATCCATGGCAAAGACAATGAAGGAAAGGGTTGGCGCTGCAGGCTATCAAGTAGCAATGTATGTGGCCATGTGCTTTGCATAAACAAAAGTTTTACCAGGTAGGGGAGATCTGTGGAATCTTAGTCCTCAGTAGGCAAACTATTTTTGATAGAGAAAACAAACATTTCTAACAGCATAAAGTCCATCTGTCTACTACATCATAAACACAGCTGGAAATGGACACCAAGTCTTTTTTCCCCCTCCTTTTCCAAATATGGTTTCTCTGTGTAGCCTTTGGTGTCCTAGAACTTGATCTTTAGACCAGGTTGTCCTTGAACTCAGAGATCCACCTGCTTCTGCTTCCTGGATGCTGGGATTAAAGGCATTGGTGTTCCACCACTGCCCATTGACACCAAGTTTTAATGTGAATCATAAATGCAATCACCTTGTTATTTTTGAAATATACTAAAAGAAAGGGGGAGTGTTAAGCTGTTCCCCCCTCCTTTTCTTAGGAGGGCTTGCAACAGTCTGGCGTTGCTGGCTTCAAAAATGCTTGTAGCAGAGTTTAACCTTGAACTCTTGGTCTTCCTGTCTCCGCCTCCTAAATGCTGGGATTATAGGCATGCATCACGGTGTCTAGATTCAACAGTTTCCTACTCTGAAGTTCCAGCTCATCTGGATGTCCTGTTTTATGTAGCCATCCTGGTCACCTCTACTGTGGCCTGCGAACTGGATGCCACCACCTCTGTCTTTGTTGCCGGTGGCTGAGAGCAGAGTAGGCTAGATCAGCTCCCAGACTTAATCACCCCATGGGACACCAGCGTCCAACACACAGTCCAGGCAGGGTTTGAGTCCAGCATCCAACACACACCATTCAGTGTTGAAACCGACTCTGTTAAGAGTTGGTGGGAGGGAAGAAAGCAGTGATGGACCAGGCAGGTTTCCTGGAAGAGCTGGCCTAGAAGCTGGGCTGATGGCAGTCTGGGGCACCGGGCTGGCCTTAGAGGCTGAATCCAGCTTGGAGGTTCAGGGAGGAGCTGGGCCTGGCTAGGGCAGGAGGTCGAAGCCTAGATAAGACCGGATAGGTGAGGCGGAGCCGATTGTGTGGAGGCACTTGAATTCCAGGCTTGGCTTTCGGACTTTATCCCGCAGACAAAGGGGAGCCAGTCGCATTTCTGAGAAGGGCTGGGCACCCCTTGTCGCCCCATTGTTTTCCTGAGAGTCCGGGACCTGCAGTGTTGCTTCGCGACCACCAGATGGTGGTATTTCAGCAAATTTCAACTACTCCATGTGGAGGCATTCTTGGAGAAGTCTCCCTTGCTAAAGAGCATCATCCATCCACAAACCAACCAGCCAGAGCTGGGAAACACACACCACATCCACCCAATCCGGGACGTGGTCCAGCCTCACCCCTTCGCACCTTCACAGCTTTGAGGAAGAATATGTTGAGCCACAGGAAAGGAGAGGCCCGTGTTGGCCTGTGCAGCTGGAAGCTCTTTCAATGGGCCATGCACCCAGTTCATGAACTGGGAAGCAGAGGTTCACCTTAACCGGCCTGTTAGGAAGTGGAATCACGTGGCGAGGGGTGAACCTCAAGGTTCTGGTTTACTGGTCAGGGTTCCTTGCATGGTATCAAGCCTAGCTTTCAGTCTATTGTGGTTGCCAGGAAAACAAAACCCAAACCAAAATAAACCCCAAACCAGCAGAGTACTATTGAAGAAAATAAGCCACCTGGCCCATTCCTGGACACTGATCCTCCCAGCTAGAGAACCGGAACACCCGTTTTACTGTAAGGAATTGTCCAAGGTCACACAGAGGGGACACATCAGAGGGAGTGCTGGATCCCAGGACTGTCGTGCCTGCCTATCTGGTGCCTTCCTTTAACAATCAAACATCTCCCATTGTGGGGCCAATTTCTTAAGAGAAACTTGTATGTCCATACCCGAGGAGATACAGATTTTCTCTCCTCTCCTCTCCTTTTCCCCTCCTCTCCCCTCTCCTCCCCTCCCTCTTTCCTCTTCTTCCTCTTCCTCCTCCTCTTCTCTCTCTTCCTTGTAGCTTTGGAGCCTGTTCTGGAACTTGCTTTGTAGACCAGGCTGACCTTGAACTCACAGAGATTCTCCTGCCTCTGCCTCCCGAGTGTGTGGGCCACCATTGCCCCACCACAGATTTTCTTTTTAAAATTG